GGCAGGAGTGTGGATGGGAGTGTGGGCAGGAGTGTGGATGGGAGTGTGGGCAGGAGTGTGGATGGGAGTGTGGGCAGGAGTGTGGATGGGAGTGTGGGCAGGAGTGTGGATGGGAGTGTGGGCAGGAGTGTGGATGGGAGTGTGGGCAGGAGTGTGGATGGGAGTGTGGGCAGGAGTGTGGATGGGAGTGTGGGCAGGAGTGTGGATGGGAGTGTGGGCAGGAGTGTGGATGGGAGTGTGGGCAGGAGTGTGGATGGGAGTGTGGGCAGGAGTGTGGATGGGAGTGTGGGCAGGAGTGTGGATGGGAGTGTGGGCAGGAGTGTGGATGGGAGTGTGGGCAGGAGTGTGGATGGGAGTGTGGGCAGGAGTGTGGATGGGAGTGTGGGCAGGAGTGTGGATGGGAGTGTGGGCAGGAGTGTGGATGGGAGTGTGGGCAGGAGTGTGGATGGGAGTGTGGGCAGGAGTGTGGATGGGAGTGTGGGCAGGAGTGTGGATGGGAGTGTGGGCAGGAGTGTGGATGGGAGTGTGGGCAGGAGTGTGGATGGGAGTGTGGGCAGGAGTGTGGATGGGAGTGTGGGCAGGAGTGTGGATGGGAGTGTGGGCAGGAGTGTGGATGGGAGTGTGGGCAGGAGTGTGGATGGGAGTGTGGGCAGGAGTGTGGATGGGAGTGTGGGCAGGAGTGTGGATGGGAGTGTGGGCAGGAGTGTGGATGGGAGTGTGGGCAGGAGTGTGGATGGGAGTGTGGGCAGGAGTGTGGATGGGAGTGTGGGCAGGAGTGTGGATGGGAGTGTGGGCAGGAGTGTGGATGGGAGTGTGGGCAGGAGTGTGGATGGGAGTGTGGGCAGGAGTGTGGATGGGAGTGTGGGCAGGAGTGTGGATGGGAGTGTGGGCAGGAGTGTGGATGGGAGTGTGGGCAGGAGTGTGGATGGGAGTGTGGGCAGGAGTGTGGATGGGAGTGTGGGCAGGAGTGTGGATGGGAGTGTGGGCAGGAGTGTGGATGGGAGTGTGGGCAGGAGTGTGGATGGGAGTGTGGGCAGGAGTGTGGATGGGAGTGTGGGCAGGAGTGTGGATGGGAGTGTGGGCAGGAGTGTGGATGGGAGTGTGGGCAGGAGTGTGGATGGGAGTGTGGGCAGGAGTGTGGATGGGAGTGTGGGCAGGAGTGTGGATGGGAGTGTGGGCAGGAGTGTGGATGGGAGTGTGGGCAGGAGTGTGGATGGGAGTGTGGGCAGGAGTGTGGATGGGAGTGTGGGCAGGAGTGTGGATGGGAGTGTGGGCAGGAGTGTGGATGGGAGTGTGGGCAGGAGTGTGGATGGGAGTGTGGGCAGGAGTGTGGATGGGAGTGTGGGCAGGAGTGTGGATGGGAGTGTGGGCAGGAGTGTGGATGGGAGTGTGGGCAGGAGTGTGGATGGGAGTGTGGGCAGGAGTGTGGATGGGAGTGTGGGCAGGAGTGTGGATGGGAGTGTGGGCAGGAGTGTGGATGGGAGTGTGGGCAGGAGTGTGGATGGGAGTGTGGGCAGGAGTGTGGATGGGAGTGTGGGCAGGAGTGTGGATGGGAGTGTGGGCAGGAGTGTGGATGGGAGTGTGGGCAGGAGTGTGGATGGGAGTGTGGGCAGGAGTGTGGATGGGAGTGTGGGCAGGAGTGTGGATGGGAGTGTGGGCAGGAGTGTGGATGGGAGTGTGGGCAGGAGTGTGGATGGGAGTGTGGGCAGGAGTGTGGATGGGAGTGTGGGCAGGAGTGTGGATGGGAGTGTGGGCAGGAGTGTGGATGGGAGTGTGGGCAGGAGTGTGGATGGGAGTGTGGGCAGGAGTGTGGATGGGAGTGTGGGCAGGAGTGTGGATGGGAGTGTGGGCAGGAGTGTGGATGGGAGTGTGGGCAGGAGTGTGGATGGGAGTGTGGGCAGGAGTGTGGATGGGAGTGTGGGCAGGAGTGTGGATGGGAGTGTGGGCAGGAGTGTGGATGGGAGTGTGGGCAGGAGTGTGGATGGGAGTGTGGGCAGGAGTGTGGATGGGAGTGTGGGCAGGAGTGTGGATGGGAGTGTGGGCAGGAGTGTGGATGGGAGTGTGGGCAGGAGTGTGGATGGGAGTGTGGGCAGGAGTGTGGATGGGAGTGTGGGCAGGAGTGTGGATGGGAGTGTGGGCAGGAGTGTGGATGGGAGTGTGGGCAGGAGTGTGGATGGGAGTGTGGGCAGGAGTGTGGATGGGAGTGTGGGCAGGAGTGTGGATGGGAGTGTGGGCAGGAGTGTGGATGGGAGTGTGGGCAGGAGTGTGGATGGGAGTGTGGGCAGGAGTGTGGATGGGAGTGTGGGCAGGAGTGTGGATGGGAGTGTGGGCAGGAGTGTGGATGGGAGTGTGGGCAGGAGTGTGGATGGGAGTGTGGGCAGGAGTGTGGATGGGAGTGTGGGCAGGAGTGTGGATGGGAGTGTGGGCAGGAGTGTGGATGGGAGTGTGGGCAGGAGTGTGGATGGGAGTGTGGGCAGGAGTGTGGATGGGAGTGTGGGCAGGAGTGTGGATGGGAGTGTGGGCAGGAGTGTGGATGGGAGTGTGGGCAGGAGTGTGGATGGGAGTGTGGGCAGGAGTGTGGATGGGAGTGTGGGCAGGAGTGTGGATGGGAGTGTGGGCAGGAGTGTGGATGGGAGTGTGGGCAGGAGTGTGGATGGGAGTGTGGGCAGGAGTGTGGATGGGAGTGTGGGCAGGAGTGTGGATGGGAGTGTGGGCAGGAGTGTGGATGGGAGTGTGGGCAGGAGTGTGGATGGGAGTGTGGGCAGGAGTGTGGATGGGAGTGTGGGCAGGAGTGTGGATGGGAGTGTGGGCAGGAGTGTGGATGGGAGTGTGGGCAGGAGTGTGGATGGGAGTGTGGGCAGGAGTGTGGATGGGAGTGTGGGCAGGAGTGTGGATGGGAGTGTGGGCAGGAGTGTGGATGGGAGTGTGGGCAGGAGTGTGGATGGGAGTGTGGGCAGGAGTGTGGATGGGAGTGTGGGCAGGAGTGTGGATGGGAGTGTGGGCAGGAGTGTGGATGGGAGTGTGGGCAGGAGTGTGGATGGGAGTGTGGGCAGGAGTGTGGATGGGAGTGTGGGCAGGAGTGTGGATGGGAGTGTGGGCAGGAGTGTGGATGGGAGTGTGGGCAGGAGTGTGGATGGGAGTGTGGGCAGGAGTGTGGATGGGAGTGTGGGCAGGAGTGTGGATGGGAGTGTGGGCAGGAGTGTGGATGGGAGTGTGGGCAGGAGTGTGGATGGGAGTGTGGGCAGGAGTGTGGATGGGAGTGTGGGCAGGAGTGTGGATGGGAGTGTGGGCAGGAGTGTGGATGGGAGTGTGGGCAGGAGTGTGGATGGGAGTGTGGGCAGGAGTGTGGATGGGAGTGTGGGCAGGAGTGTGGATGGGAGTGTGGGCAGGAGTGTGGATGGGAGTGTGGGCAGGAGTGTGGATGGGAGTGTGGGCAGGAGTGTGGATGGGAGTGTGGGCAGGAGTGTGGATGGGAGTGTGGGCAGGAGTGTGGATGGGAGTGTGGGCAGGAGTGTGGATGGGAGTGTGGGCAGGAGTGTGGATGGGAGTGTGGGCAGGAGTGTGGATGGGAGTGTGGGCAGGAGTGTGGATGGGAGTGTGGGCAGGAGTGTGGATGGGAGTGTGGGCAGGAGTGTGGATGGGAGTGTGGGCAGGAGTGTGGATGGGAGTGTGGGCAGGAGTGTGGATGGGAGTGTGGGCAGGAGTGTGGATGGGAGTGTGGGCAGGAGTGTGGATGGGAGTGTGGGCAGGAGTGTGGATGGGAGTGTGGGCAGGAGTGTGGATGGGAGTGTGGGCAGGAGTGTGGATGGGAGTGTGGGCAGGAGTGTGGATGGGAGTGTGGGCAGGAGTGTGGATGGGAGTGTGGGCAGGAGTGTGGATGGGAGTGTGGGCAGGAGTGTGGATGGGAGTGTGGGCAGGAGTGTGGATGGGAGTGTGGCAGGAGTGTGGATGGGAGTGTGGGCAGGAGTGTGGATGGGAGTGTGGGCAGGAGTGTGGATGGGAGTGTGGGCAGGAGTGTGGATGGGAGTGTGGGCAGGAGTGTGGATGGGAGTGTGGGCAGGAGTGTGGATGGGAGTGTGGGCAGGAGTGTGGATGGGAGTGTGGGCAGGAGTGTGGATGGGAGTGTGGGCAGGAGTGTGGATGGGAGTGTGGGCAGGAGTGTGGATGGGAGTGTGGGCAGGAGTGTGGATGGGAGTGTGGGCAGGAGTGTGGATGGGAGTGTGGGCAGGAGTGTGGATGGGAGTGTGGGCAGGAGTGTGGATGGGAGTGTGGCAGGGAGTGTGGATGGGAGTGTGGCAGGAGTGTGGATGGGAGTGTGGGCATGGAGTGTGGATGGGAGTGTGGGCATGGAGTGTGGATGGGAGTGTGGATGGGAGTGTGGATGGGAGTGTGGATGGGAGTGTGGATGGGAGTGTGGGCAGGAGTGTGGATGGGAGTGTGGGCAGGAGTGTGGATGGGAGTGTGGGCAGGAGTGTGGATGGGAGTGTGGGCAGGAGTGTGGATGGGAGTGTGGGCAGGAGTGTGGATGGGAGTGTGGGCAGGAGTGTGGATGGGAGTGTGGAGGGGAGTGTGGATGGGAGTGTGGATGGGAGTGTGGATGGGAGTGTGGGCAGGAGTGTGGATGGGAGTGTGGATGGGAGTGTGGATGGGAGTGTGGATGGGAGTGTGGATGGGAGTGTGGATGGGAGTGTGGATGGGAGTGTGGATGGGAGTGTGGATGGGAGTGTGGATGGGAGTGTGGATGGGAGTGTGGATGGGAGTGTGGATGGGAGTGTGGATGGGAGTGTGGATGGGAGTGTGGATGGGAGTGTGGATGGGAGTGTGGATGGGAGTGTGGATGGGAGTGTGGATGGGAGTGTGGATGGGAGTGTGGATGGGAGTGTGGATGGGAGTGTGGATGGGAGTGTGGATGGGAGTGTGGATGGGAGTGTGGATGGGAGTGTGGATGGGAGTGTGGATGGGAGTGTGGATGGGAGTGTGGATGGGAGTGTGGATGGGAGTGTCGGATGGGAGTGTGGATGGGAGTGTGGATGGGAGTGTGGATGGGAGTGTGGATGGGAGTGTGGATGGGAGTGTGGATGGGAGTGTGGATGGGAGTGTGGATGGAGTGTGGATGGGAGTGTGGATGGGAGTGTGGATGGGAGTTGTGGATGGGAGTGTGGATGGGAGTGTGGATGGCGGTGTGGATGGGAGTGTGGATGGGAGTGTGGATGGGAGTGTGGATGGGAGGTGGATGGGAGTGTGGATGGAGTGTGGATGGGAGTGTTGATGGGAGTGTGGATGGGAGTGTGGATGGAGTAGTGGATGGGAGGTGGATGGGAGTGTGATCGTGGAGTGTGGATGGGAGTCGTGGATGGAGTGTGGATGGAGTGTGGATGGAGATGGATGGAGTGTGGATGGGATTGTGGATGGCGAGTGTGGATGGGAGTGTGGATGGGAGTGTGGATGGGAGTGTGGATGGAGTGGATGGCATGTGGAGGGAGGTTTGATGGAGTGTGGATGGAGTGTGGATGGGAGTGTGGATGGGAGTGTGGATGGGAGTGTGGATGGGAGTGTGGATGGGAGTGTGGATGGGAGTGTGGATGGGAGTGTGGATGGGAGTGTGGATGGGAGTGTGGATGGGAGTGTGGATGGGAGTGTGGATGGGAGTGTGGATGGGAGTGTGGATGGGAGTGTGGATGGGAGTGTGGATGGGAGTGTGGATGGGAGTGTGGATGGGAGTGTGGATGGGAGTGTGGATGGGAGTGTGGATGGGAGTGTGGATGGGAGTGTGGATGGGAGTGTGGATGGGAGTGTGGATGGGAGTGTGGATGGGAGTGTGGATGGGAGTGTGGATGGGAGTGTGGATGGGAGTGTGGATGGGAGTGTGGATGGGAGTGTGGATGGGAGTGTGGATGGGAGTGTGGATGGGAGTGTGGATGGGAGTGTGGATGGGAGTGTGGATGGGAGTGTGGATGGGAGTGTGGATGGGAGTGTGGATGGGAGTGTGGATGGGAGTGTGGATGGGAGTGTGGATGGGAGTGTGGATGGGAGTGTGGATGGGAGTGTGGATGGGAGTGTGGATGGGAGTGTGGATGGGAGTGTGGATGGGAGTGTGGATGGGAGTGTGGATGGGAGTGTGGATGGGAGTGTGGATGGGAGTGTGGATGGGAGTGTGGATGGGAGTGTGGATGGGAGTGTGGATGGGAGTGTGGATGGGAGTGTGGATGGGAGTGTGGATGGGAGTGTGGATGGGAGTGTGGATGGGAGTGTGGATGGGAGTGTGGATGGGAGTGTGGATGGGAGTGTGGATGGGAGTGTGGATGGGAGTGTGGATGGGAGTGTGGATGGGAGTGTGGATGGGAGTGTGGATGGGAGTGTGGATGGGAGTGTGGATGGGAGTGTGGATGGGAGTGTGGATGGGAGTGTGGATGGGAGTGTGGATGGGAGTGTGGATGGGAGTGTGGATGGGAGTGTGGATGGGAGTGTGGATGGGAGTGTGGATGGGAGTGTGGATGGGAGTGTGGATGGGAGTGTGGATGGGAGTGTGGATGGGAGTGTGGATGGGAGTGTGGATGGGAGTGTGGATGGGAGTGTGGATGGGAGTGTGGATGGGAGTGTGGATGGGAGTGTGGATGGGAGTGTGGATGGGAGTGTGGATGGGAGTGTGGATGGGAGTGTGGATGGGAGTGTGGATGGGAGTGTGGATGGGAGTGTGGATGGGAGTGTGGATGGGAGTGTGGATGGGAGTGTGGATGGGAGTGTGGATGGGAGTGTGGATGGGAGTGTGGATGGGAGTGTGGATGGGAGTGTGGATGGGAGTGTGGATGGGAGTGTGGATGGGAGTGTGGATGGGAGTGTGGATGGGAGTGTGGATGGGAGTGTGGATGGGAGTGTGGATGGGAGTGTGGATGGGAGTGTGGATGGGAGTGTGGATGGGAGTGTGGATGGGAGTGTGGATGGGAGTGTGGATGGGAGTGTGGATGGGAGTGTGGATGGGAGTGTGGATGGGAGTGTGGATGGGAGTGTGGATGGGAGTGTGGATGGGAGTGTGGATGGGAGTGTGGATGGGAGTGTGGATGGGAGTGTGGATGGGAGTGTGGATGGGAGTGTGGATGGGAGTGTGGATGGGAGTGTGGATGGGAGTGTGGATGGGAGTGTGGATGGGAGTGTGGATGGGAGTGTGGATGGGAGTGTGGATGGGAGTGTGGATGGGAGTGTGGATGGGAGTGTGGATGGGAGTGTGGATGGGAGTGTGGATGGGAGTGTGGATGGGAGTGTGGATGGGAGTGTGGATGGGAGTGTGGATGGGAGTGTGGATGGGAGTGTGGATGGGAGTGTGGATGGGAGTGTGGATGGGAGTGTGGATGGGAGTGTGGATGGGAGTGTGGATGGGAGTGTGGATGGGAGTGTGGATGGGAGTGTGGATGGGAGTGTGGATGGGAGTGTGGATGGGAGTGTGGATGGGAGTGTGGATGGGAGTGTGGATGGGAGTGTGGATGGGGAGTGTGGATGGAGTGTGGATGGGAGTGTGGATGGGAGTGTGGATGGGAGTGTGGATGGGAGTGTGGATGGGAGTGTGGATGGAGTGTGGATGGGAGTGTGGATGGGAGTGTGGATGGGAGTGTGGATGGGAGTGTGGATGGGAGTGTGGATGGGAGTGTGGATGGGAGTGTGGATGGGAGTGTGGATGGGAGTGTGGATGGGAGTGTGGATGGGAGTGTGGATGGGAGTGTGGATGGGAGTGTGGATGGGAGTGTGGATGGGAGTGTGGATGGGAGTGTGGATGGGAGTGTGGATGGGAGTGTGGATGGGAGTGTGGATGGGAGTGGTGGATGGGAGTGTGGATGGGAGTGTGGATGGGAGTGTGGATGGGAGTGTGGATGGGGTGTGGCTGGGAGTGTGGATGGGAGTGTGGATGGGAGTGTGGATGGGAGTGTGGATGGGAGTGTGGATGGGAGTGTGGATGGGAGTGTGGATGGGAGTGTGGATGGATTGGTGAGTGTGGATGGGAGTGTGGATGGGAGTGTGGATGGGAGTGTGGATGGGAGTGTGGATGGGAGTGTGGATGGGAGTGTGGATGGGAGTGTGGATGGGAGTGTGGATGGGAGTGTGGATGGGAGTGTGGATGGGAGTGTGGATGGGAGTGTGGATGGGAGTGTGGATGGGAGTGTGGATGGGAGTGTGGATGGGAGTGTGGATGGGAGTGTGGATGGGAGTGTGGATGGGAGTGTGGATGGGAGTGTGGATGGGAGTGTGGATGGGAGTGTGGATGGGAGTGTGGATGGGAGTGTGGATGGGAGTGTGGATGGGAGTGTGGATGGGAGTGTGGATGGGAGTGTGGATGGGAGTGTGGATGGGAGTGTGGATGGGAGTGTGGATGGGAGTGTGGATGGGAGTGTGGATGGGAGTGTGGATGGGAGTGTGGATGGGAGTGTGGATGGGAGTGTGGATGGGAGTGTGGATGGGAGTGTGGATGGGAGTGTGGATGGGAGTGTGGATGGGAGTGTGGATGGGAGTGTGGATGGGAGTGTGGATGGGAGTGTGGATGGGAGTGTGGATGGGAGTGTGGATGGGAGTGTGGATGGGAGTGTGGATGGGAGTGTGGATGGGAGTGTGGATGGGAGTGTGGATGGGAGTGTGGATGGGAGTGTGGATGGGAGTGTGGATGGGAGTGTGGATGGGAGTGTGGATGGGAGTGTGGATGGGAGTGTGGATGGGAGTGTGGATGGGAGTGTGGATGGGAGTGTGGATGGGAGTGTGGATGGGAGTGTGGATGGGAGTGTGGATGGGAGTGTGGATGGGAGTGTGGATGGGAGTGTGGATGGGAGTGTGGATGGGAGTGTGGATGGGAGTGTGGATGGGAGTGTGGATGGGAGTGTGGATGGGAGTGTGGATGGGAGTGTGGATGGGAGTGTGGATGGGAGTGTGGATGGGAGTGTGGATGGGAGTGTGGATGGGAGTGTGGATGGGAGTGTGGATGGGAGTGTGGATGGAGTGTGGATGGGAGTGTGGATGGGAGTGTGGATGGGAGTGTGGATGGGAGTGTGGATGGGAGTGTGGATGGGAGTGTGGATGGAGTGTGGATGGGAGTGTGGATGGGAGTGGAGTGTGGATGGGAGTGTGGATGGGAGTGTGGATGGGAGTGTGGATGGGAGTGTGGATGGGAGTGTGGATGGGAGTGTGGATGGGAGTGTGGATGGGAGTGTGGATGGGAGTGTGGATGGGAGTGTGGATGGGAGTGTGGATGGGAGTGTGGATGGGAGTGTGGATGGGAGTGTGGATGGGAGTGTGGATGGGAGTGTGGATGGGAGTGTGGATGGGAGTGTGGATGGGAGTGTGGATGGGAGTGTGGATGGGAGTGTGGATGGGAGTGTGGATGGGAGTGTGGATGGGAGTGTGGATGGGAGTGTGGATGGGAGTGTGGATGGAGTGTGGATGGGAGTGTGGATGGGAGTGTGGATGGGAGTGTGGATGGAGTGTGGATGGATGGGAGTGTGGATGGGAGTGTGGATGGGAGTGTGGATGGGAGTGTGGATGGGAGTGTGGATGGGAGTGTGGATGGGAGTGTGGATGGGAGTGTGGATGGGAGTGTGGATGGGAGTGTGGATGGGAGTGTGGATGGGAGTGTGGATGGGAGTGTGGATGGGAGTGTGGATGGGAGTGTGGATGGGAGTGTGGATGGGAGTGTGGATGGGAGTGTGGATGGGAGTGTGGATGGGAGTGTGGATGGGAGTGTGGATGGGAGTGTGGATGGGAGTGTGGATGGGAGTGTGGATGGGAGTGTGGATGGGAGTGTGGATGGGAGTGTGGATGGGAGTGTGGATGGGAGTGTGGATGGGAGTGTGGATGGGAGTGTGGATGGGAGTGTGGATGGGAGTGTGGATGGGAGTGTGGATGGGAGTGTGGATGGGAGTGTGGATGGGAGTGTGGATGGGAGTGTGGATGGGAGTGTGGATGGGAGTGTGGATGGGAGTGTGGATGGGAGTGTGGATGGGAGTGTGGATGGGAGTGTGGATGGGAGTGTGGATGGGAGTGTGGATGGGAGTGTGGATGGGAGTGTGGATGGGAGTGTGGATGGGAGTGTGGATGGGAGTGTGGATGGGAGTGTGGATGGGAGTGTGGATGGGAGTGTGGATGGGAGTGTGGATGGGAGTGTGGATGGGAGTGTGGATGGGAGTGTGGATGGGAGTGTGGATGGGAGTGTGGATGGGAGTGTGGATGGGAGTGTGGATGGGAGTGTGGATGGGAGTGTGGATGGGAGTGTGGATGGGAGTGTGGATGGGAGTGTGGATGGGAGTGTGGATGGGAGTGTGGATGGGAGTGTGGATGGGAGTGTGGATGGGAGTGTGGATGGGAGTGTGGATGGGAGTGTGGATGGGAGTGTGGATGGGAGTGTGGATGGGAGTGTGGATGGGAGTGTGGATGGGAGTGTGGATGGGAGTGTGGATGGGAGTGTGGATGGGAGTGTGGATGGGAGTGTGGATGGGAGTGTGGATGGGAGTGTGGATGGGAGTGTGGATGGGAGTGTGGATGGGAGTGTGGATGGGAGTGTGGATGGGAGTGTGGATGGGAGTGTGGATGGGAGTGGATGGGAGTGGGGGAGTGTGGATGGGAGTGTGGATGGAGTGGGATGGAGTGTGGATGGGAGTGTGGATGGGAGTGTGGATGGGAGTGTGGATGGGAGTGTGGATGGGAGTGTGGATGGGAGTGTGGATGGGAGTGTGGATGGGAGTGTGGATGGGAGTGTGGATGGGAGTGTGGATGGGAGTGTGGATGGGAGTGTGGATGGGAGTGTGGATGGGAGTGTGGATGGGAGTGTGGGGAGAAATGTGGGCATGGCAAAAGGAAAGTAAACATGTTTCTAGGGAGGGTGGAATGAAGGGTATGGAAAAGAAAGAACGGAAGAAAGAAAAACCACGGGTGGGGGAACGTGTTTATGAGTGTGGAGGAGTGTAGGTGGGAGTGTGGGGGGGGGGGGGACTGTGGACAGGACACAAGGAAAGAGGAACTGCCATACCTGCCTTTGAAGCTCGGCGTGCACATATTAGCTGGCTTTGAAGGAATTTTATGTGGTGATGTAAGTGGTGAGGTAGCAGCTAGTATCTTTGTGGTGCCAGTGGTGCCAGTGGTGGCACCGGTGACAACTCACCGTAGAAAGACTAAGCCAAGTAGATTTGCTTTTTCGAGAACAACTGAAATCCATCAAACAACAAATAATTCATACCTATGGGACTGCACATGAGATCAGCCTTACATCTATAGCAACCCAACCTTGGGCACCAGTGGTGCTTTGGGAAGTGGAGAGGAAAGGGCAGCACAGGAGAGTAGGGAGGGGATTAAGCGAGCCAGAAGGAGGCGGAGGGGTGAGTTGAAGGCAGAGAGGTGCTGTTCAGGAAAGACTGGGGCGGACTAGGTAAGTCTTTGCCTTTCAGGAAATACTGGGGGCAAAATAGGCAAAAACCCCCTTAAACCACCCCCCTCAACACAACCCCCTCAACCCCCACTCACCCGCACAGCCCTCTCTCCCCAATCACCCAAACAGCCCACTCACCCCACTCATCCACACACCACATTCACCCCACTCACCTCACTCACCCCACTCACCCCGCACACCCCACTCACCTCACTCACCCCACTCACCCGCACACCCCCTCACCCGCAAGGAGGCCTTGGGCAGGCGCGCAGGTGGGGCGACACTCAACCCACTCACCTGCACAGCCTTCCTACTCACCCTTCTCACCTGCACGAAGGCCTTGGGCAGGCGGGCAAGGGGAGACACAAGACGGCATCCAAGCAGGAGGTGCAGCAAGAGAGGGGAATGACCCACCTGATGTGAGACGTGCGCCCTTTGAGGAGATGTGCGTCCACCCGCACACCCTATTTAACAACTCACCCTACTCACCCACACACACACACCACTCACTCAACTCACCTGCACACCCCTCTCATCCCACTCACCCCTCTCATCCCACTCACCCCACTCACCACTCACCCCACTCACAAGCACACCAGGAGAGGTCATTTGTATGGGTGCCATTGAAGAGAGTGACTGAAACGGAAGGAACAAGAACCGGGGGGGGGGGGGAGGAGGAATGGGCAGGAGTTGGGTTTTAAGGTTTTGGTCTGTTTGATGGGGTATGAACAGAAGCCAGCAGGCCCAAATGGAGGGGTTTAATAGGTCGTTGTCAACATTGGTGTTGTTGAAAGAGTGACTGGAAAACTAGGGGTTGAGAGCGGCACAGAGTTATTGAGAGGGGTTAGGAGGAGAGGAACAGCGGGGTGAAGTACAGAGAGGTACATATAGGTTCAGCTGAGTTCAGAAAGGCAAACCCAGTGGAAGGGTTCAGTGAAGAGAGGAATTTGGCATGGAAAAGGCAGACGCCAACTGAGAGCTGGACGTTTATTTGTGATGATTACAGTGCAAATTCAAACAGAAGCGATGATGACAATTGGTCTAGTCAGATGTGGTGCACAATTTATCATCGTTTTTTGCTGTTTTTTGTCTACAGGGATTCTAAAACACGCCCGAGGGACTAGCAATACCGTAGCTCCTCCAAATTAGCCAACTTGGGATTAGCTTGTAATGACGATATCTGGAATATACCACTTACTCGAATCTGCCAGGACTTTCAACATCCATTACACAAAGTATGCACAACTACACACTCCACATATGCTCAGCAAAAAAGAAACATGACCCTTGACCAAATGCACTCAGATCACCATACACACTATGTTCCTGTCAGGCTAGTACTTCATGAATTTCAGCCCATGCATGTCCCGGAGTCCATAGCGCAGTGCACGAGACATTCCATCGAGCGCTTGCTTGCATCCTTTAACATCCAACTGCTGCAGCATCTTCAGCTCGGTCAAATCATCTGGCAAGGCCTTCAATTGCTTACAGCAAGAGAGTTTGAGTGTCCTGAGCCTGGTCAGCTGTGCAATCCTGGGAGGAAGGGAGCTGATGGAAGTAAAGTCAAGTGTAAGAATAGAGAGGCAGCTAAGCTGGGTGAGTGTTGATGGTAGCTGCTGCAGGGCCTTACATCCTGACAGATCCAGCTCAATCAACCTGGATAATGCTCCGATGCCATCGGGGATCGATGTCAGCTTGGGTGCTTCGACGACCTCTAACAATATCAGGTGTTGGAGCTGTGACAATGTGTCCGGCAGCTCCCTTAGCTCTTCAAGTTGGTACAATTGCAGCTCCCGTATATGCTGCAAAGCCAAACCCATGCTTCGTGGAAGGGTCTGAATCATTTTAGCACTGCAGAGACCCAGGATGTGGAGCTGAGAAAGTGATTCCAAGGGGAGTGGAAACTCATTGTTTGCCAACCCCAGCTCCAACTGCTGCAGGGAAATCTGAGACAGCGAATCAGCCCGGTTGTTTCTGTACCAGACCAGAATCTCAAGGGAGAGCGGCAGCGACAAAGGAAACCCACACAGTTGTCCGCACCATGTTATCCTTAGACACTTGAGCTCCATGAGGCTGCTTAGGCTTCTTGGCAGCAAAGAGAGCTGTTGACAACCCTCAATGATCAAGGTCACAAGACTAGTGAGCTCTGTAACGGAATCTCGTATCTCCCTGACATCACAGTCATGAATGTTGAGATGCTGCAGGTTGCTCAAATGGTCCAGACCGTCGGGAAGCACTGTAACTGCACACTTCCCAAGCTCAAGACTCGTTAGAGAAATCAGCTGAGCAAAGGAAGGAAAGAGCCGCTGCTTTGTGCAATGATGCATGTGAAGAGTCTCGAGGTTGCTGAGCCATCCAATCCTCTCTGGAAGCACCTTCAGCCAAATGTTTTTTAGACAACGCAGTAAGGGGCAGCCCCCCCTTTTTTCCCCGGTAGGTGACTCTCCTTGAAGGACCCAATCGCCAGCCCCAGCTGGAACCCATGTGTGGGTTGCGTGCCTATGCAGGACCCAATCACCTAGCTTCGATTGGGGACAACATAAGCTAGGCACCCGCTGGAACCCACAGCTGGCGATTGAACCAGTGTCACTAGTGGTTGAATATGTGGGTTGGCAGCTTATTTTCTCAAGATGCAGCTGAAGAAATTATGCTTTTTAGACAGTGGCGAGAACAGCTGCACTCACGCAGAGATAACGAACAAAATGACGGATCATTGGAATGCGGTGGTGGTCGCGCTGGAGTCCTCGGCGGCAGTCGAAAGGGGCCCTGACATCTGGCGGTTACGGGCTGCGCAAGCAAAGAAAAAGGGGGTCAGGACGCGGGTTGAGATCGCGCTCAAGGATGCGAATGGTGACCTCGGAGCGCTGCTGCCCAGGCTGTCGTCGTGTCTTCGGGCGTATTCGCGGGAGGAGAGGAAGAGGGTTGGTGCGACTAAAAGGCATCTGGAGAAGGAAGTGAGGCTCTTCCGGCAGCGGTTGTCGCAGAACCCGGACTGCCAACGGACGGGTGCTATCCTGCTAAAAAAAGAGGAACTTCTCGATGCATATGAAAAGAGCCATCAAGAAAAGCTGCAGGAGTGGCTCGGTGTTGAGGCGGAATTGGATGGGGGTTTTCTATCCGGGCAAATAAAGGTGCGGAAAGCCAATTTGGAAATGAAATCAGTTCAATTCAAGGGGGCCACTTACTCGGGAGCAAGAGAGGTGCTCACGGCGGCGACTGAGTTCTTCAAAGACTCTTTCGGATGTAGCGGGGAGGCGGTCCTGCAGGGGGAGCAGCCGGGGGCCATGTGCCGGACCTTGGGAGACGCCAGCCATATCGCCCTTGGTGCGCCCTGGTTAGAGGAAGAGGTTCGAACCGCAGTGCGCGAGCTAGCTACGGGGAAGTCGCCGGGGCAGGATGTTCTTCTGAAGGAGCTGTTCGAGCACAACTGGGACCTGCTCGGTCTGGCTCTGATGCGGTTCGTTGGAGATTTCATGCGAACGGCGACGCTACCCCGCAGTGTCACCACCACGGTCACGATCCTGCTGCACAAGAAAGGGAGCAAGGAGGAGTTAGGGACTTCAGGCCGATCACGTTGCTGAGCACGGTCTACAAGGTGTTGGCGAAAGTCATGGCGATGAGACCTAAAAAAATTCTGCATGAGGTGATCTCGGAGGATCAAGTGGGTTTTTTGCCCCGTCGGAAACTGGCGGATGCAGTCGTGGTGGTCGCTGACGCCATTAAGGCAGGGGCCAGCGGCAGGGAGGACTGGCTTCTCTTGATGGTCGACTTTCAAAAGGCCTTTGACTCCATCTCGAGGCCTTTTCTCTTTAGCACGCTACGAGGGATGGGCATCCCGGAGCAGATCATGTCTTGGGCGGAGGGCCTGCACAAGGACTCAGGGACACGACTGCACATCAATGTCTGGACAGGCGATAGAGTTGCAGTGGAGAAAGGGGTGCGGCAAGGTTGTCCGCTCGCACCGTACCTCTTTCTTTGCGCGGTGGAGCCGCTCTGCAAGGAGTTTGCGCGGCGGGGACTGGGCATCGGCGATACAGGCACGGGGAAGCTGGCATATCTGGGGTATGCCAATGACACGTCGCTCCTGCTGCAAGGGGAAGAGCAGCTGGCTGTCGCGGCCGCAGTGCTGGATAACTTCGGGAAGGCGTCAGAGCTGAGGGTGAACCAGGACAAAACGGTGGTGTTCTCGCTCGGGAGGAACAGAGGGAAGCCGCCGCCGGCCAGCCTGCGGTACAAATTGTTAACTGTTATAACGTTATGCGGAAGCGATTAAACTGGAACTACAAACAAAGCTTAGCAACACTTAACATCACTTGCAACCCTTCGAGTGTGACAGCTTGTCACCTCCTAGCCAAGGGCGTAATAAAAACGCAAGTGAGTAGTTATGCCTTGCATATGCTTATAGAACAAGTAAACTGGTCGAGCAGAGTTTCGGCAGCACCGTGATCGTTTCTACTCTCGTCAATACAAAGTAGTAGAATTCAAGTTTGGAAAAACGCGAATGCATTGGATTAATTTCGACAGGTACAAGCATACACATTTATATAAATTCTACGCACTGGCAAGAGCAAGCATAAAACAGTTGCTTAACTGGGTCGCAGGATTTCGCCAAGCTGTATTTGAAAACGGTTGTTCAACTCCTTGAACATTTGGCTATATCCCCCTCTTGTTAGAAACTGTCTTCAAATTGCACTTGTAACAGTTGCCCCTGACTCAAATGTGTACACTCATGAGACTCGCATGTGACTCCAATGTAGCTCTCATGAGTTCATGCGAGCTCACAGTTGTAAAACGGCTTTTACCGTTTGAAAAGCGAAATAACCGTTTTGTACCTGTGGCGAAATGATCATGCAAAGCGGCGTGACATTCGCGAGAAGTTTCCCGTCCCGTGAGTCAACTCGGAAAACAGTTTTCCAACTGTAAATTCCGAGCACCCCCTCGTGCCACACGCACGACCGATATTTTTTCTCGGTCGTGCTGTACAGCGCGCCATGATCACAATCATGCGCGTGCACAGTACGGGACAGGGCCGAAACGTGCCCTGTCTTGTTGCGATCGTGCTGTACAGCACTCTCGCAACAGTGCGCGGCACACGCCCGAGCCCTGAGGGGCCACACGCGCGTGCCAGGACCCACGCGTGGGTCTTGACTTTCGCGCCTTTGACCTGCGCGAAAAAAGTCAAGGCACCCCCCTTGACCAGTCAAACATTCGAGCCCCCCAGCACACCACTCACTCACATAAGCCTCGTATGAAATATTCGAGGCATATGGAACTTCAATGAGCCTCGCATAAATCATTCGAAGCTCGCCAATATGAGCCTCGCATGAAATATTTCTCATGTGACTTTCATGGGAACTCATTTGAGTTTCATGGGGCCTCATTTGAGACTTCGTGGGAGTCTCATTTGAGCGCATCATGTGAGC